AGTCCGGCGCCGACTCCCAACCTCCCTGGGGGTTTTTGTAGATCGACTCCCAAAAAACCCCGGGGTTTTCCATTTTTTTACTTTTTTATTTATTTTTTTCTTGGGAGGATCGACTCCCAAACCTGTGGAAGGTTTGGGAGGTCTGACTCCCATGGACGGCCTGCGGACCGTCCGCGGGGGGTCTGAGCGAAGTCCCAAATATTTGGGAGTCGTTTAACTAAGACCCTTTATTTTTTGTTTGAGTTTAAAGATCAATTGAGTTTAAGAGAAAGATGTGGTTGAGGAAGGGGCTGGGGCTGGTCCAGAACTGGAAGTGGTTTCTAAGGGTGATACATATGGACCACATAGATCCTTTGTATATTTTCCAGATGATTGGATTCTGTGCAAGAAATGGCAATCCTTTTCATGGAACCAAATTAGAAATTTGGATTGAATACTCCTGAAGCCATTCAGAGAGCAGCCAAGATGTCAGGATTTATTACCTTGCAATCACTCCACTCTGCCTCCAAATTGCATTTTCATATGATAATCTGTAATTGAATAGACTGCTTGTACCTCATGTTGATGTACTTACTTGTGTCAATCAATCTTGTAGAAATAACTATATACCAATGGAGCTGAGAAACTTGAATTATCTTAGGAAAGAGTGTTAAAAAAGGGTGGGATTTGTGGGCTGTCAATGCTCCAACTGTGCCTCTGAGGAGTCAAAACTACTTAAGAGGTAAATGAGAGGCATGAATATGGACAGCCTCAATACAATGATGGATCAGACTGCCTTACCTGGTAGATTATCAAAAAGGACACAAAATTTCAGGTAGCACAATCTCACCAACCAAAATTTAACCACTGATAGCTCTGCTGTGCTAATGCTAAGTGGCCCACTGCCAGTATTTTGAATCCACAGAAAGAAGGTGAAAAGCCAATCAGATCAAACTGGAGAACCTCAAGGAATTCTGCACTTCCAAGCAAGAAAGAACTGTTGGAATTTCACTCATCAATCTTCTCTTCATCCTTACTCGCCTGTCACTCTCATCTCATCAGTCATTATTTGTTTTATTTTTTTATTTATTATGTTAGTGTTCTGAGACCCACAACTTGAACCTCATGTATATAGATTACTTAACACATCTAGACCATACCCAATGAAAGAAAATCATCTGTTCTGACCGGACCTTTCCTTTGAGTGACACTTAAGCCTCCTCAAAGTCTTATTATGAAGACACTTAAGCCTCCTCAACTTAAGATGTAAGTTAACTGCTTCACACCTTGTCTGCTATCACCTTGCCAATTTTTTCTACTCTTTCCCCTTAAATTTCAACAAGAACAGACCCTGACCTCCTTCGAAATGACTAGTTTATGCTTCCAATTTCATTTCAAGTCATGTTTTTTTCTTCACTTTATGCATCACTTTCATGATTGTCTTCTATCATCTGTTGTTTGAAATAGCCATCCACACTGGCATCAGAATTGTTGTTTGCTTGACCTAGTTGATAATTGGTAATAGTATGAGGATTCCATACCTTTATTGCTGGCTGTCATAGGTTATTTATTGGTCTCCTGCTCTGCAAAAAAAGTTTCTTAATTTTTATAATTCCAATAGCATAAAATTCCTTGACTTTCTTGGGATTTTTTTTGTCAAACTTTGTTGAGGTGTAGCAGATTTGATTTACTCAGCGTATTCTTAAACAGTTGTTCAGTTATTGTAAGTTGATTCATTTTTGTGTGATTGATGGATTATTTCCTTTCCCAAGTCAGCTGTCAATAAACATACGAATCCTCATATTTTGAAGTAAACATTGAATTGAGTCACATACCTGAGGGAAATTGAGTGAATGCATCCTTGAGCCAATTTATATTAGTGCCTCAGCTGGTATTATTGATAAAATGTTTCAACCAGTAATTTTGTGACTCAAGAAATTGATCCTTTTCCATAAAATGCTTCTGGAAACCATGAGGAGCTACAAACATGGAATTTTTGATGATTTGAGCAAGTCCAGGAGGTTAAATTTCATTGCAAAGCAAAATCATTGAAGAAAGTTGAACCAAGTACTGAGTCAAATTTTTGATTCCCTGGGCATCAATGGCCCATTGTTTCCATACATTCATGACACAGCTGATATCCCCTGCTTTCATTGCAGCATCCCCCTCAACAATGGTTTCAAAATCAGATATATAGTCTCAGGATTGTATTAGAAATATTTGGCAAATTTTGAAGTGTTACATCTATTTTAACCTTGATCAAGAAGAATCACAGGTAGGTCTTGTCAACAACTTCTTTGATTCTTGAACTAGAAATCCATGGAATCTCCTTGGTTAGATTGTAGATTTTTTTCCCATTTTGAAATGAAATGGTACAAAATCGTTGTTCATTTAATACTTCATCAAATGCAGTAGTGATCTGGTGGAGTCATGTTGAAGAGGCACCATTTGTGGCCCCTGATTTGCACAAAAACCACCAGCATTAGCAATTCTCATGTCTTTTGCACCAATCTCACTGTCATTTCTAGTTGTAAGCCACAAGATCACTACTTATTTGATAAATTATTCCATTGAAATCAATTTTAAACCATTCAGCATTGTAAGGCACTGTGATTTGGCCCCTGATTTGCATAGAAAACACCCAAAATTGGCAGTTTCCTAGAAGAGGGTGTTGATAAACACACTACATACCTCCCCCCTCGTGCACACCCCCTTGCTTGCCCCTCTGGAAGGGGCGTGGAGTAGAACCTCCCCCTCTTGGAGGTGCGTTTTTGTCATACTGCCCTCTGTGTGCTGATAACCACCATTTCTTCAATCTCAAAAAAAAAAAAAGAAAAAGAAAAATAGGATTACTAGCCCAAGGACTCTCCCATACGCCTTTTCATTGTTTCATGACTCCTTTAAAAATTCTCATAAACTGTCTCTTGTCTTGGTGTTTTGTTTTTTGTGCTCTCAAACTGGAACTGACACAAAGTCAATAAACATCCAAAATACCAAAGGAATCAGAAGGACAAGTCATTCAAAAAAAAAAAAAAAGCGCTGATCAATTTGGACATGAGGAAAAAAAAAAGGTCTGATCAATTTGGACATGAGGAAAAACAAAATGTACTTGGATGGGTGGCGGCTCCAGAACTCAGGTTGACGAACTAGAGCTTTTCATTCATGTCGAGTGCATTTCTCGGGTCCAGCAGATGAGTTATCCTGACTCATCTCCATAAAGTTTTTTTTTTTGTGTTAATAGGTCCATGGACCCATTTTGCCCGTCTAGTACCAATACGTGCCACACATCAGGAAACATTCTGAACGTATAACCAAGAAGCCTGACTAGAGGGCAAGTCATGGCAGAGCGCAGTGGACCCTGCAATGAACATCTTTATATATGCATGGGCGCCACAAGCCTGTGAGAGAGACTCAATTCCTGGAGGGGTTAAGATGATCGATAAAATAAGCGGGATTTATAGCAAAGAAGAAAACAGAGATCGAGCAACGGGTAGCGAGAGATCATGAGAGGGTGGAGAACTCGAACGAGAAGCAGACATGAGAGCAAGAGATAACGATAAGGAATAGAGAGAGGAATGAGGAAGACAGAACAGACAACCGTGGTTTGTATGCTGAAAAAACCGGCGGAGACAGTTTAGGGAAAGAGGGGAACAGAGGAGTTGCTAAGAGAATCATATTATACACACACATGCACATGTTTGTGTAAGATGTACATCAATAAAAAAAAACTAGGAACAACATATAAGTTATAATATGTATGTATGACTTGCACATATGAATAAAGAACAAAAAAAACATCATCTGCATTGAATAGAAAACATATAAAAAGAACAAAAAAAACTTTACCAGATTCATTTTTTTCCAACCAAAATAAAGATGAAATAAAATAAGGATAATAATAATAATAATAATACTAATTAGCAGGTAGGACGACCTTCCTAATCGAGGAAGTGCGATAAGAATGGTGTTTTTTTTATCATGTAGGGCCATCCTCGTCATCGAAGACCTCCTCATTATCGACGACGACGGACAGATCTTCCTCGTCGACTTCCTCGATCAGTTCGGGTTTAGCAGGGGAAAGGATCTCGCCGGACGCGGCGGCCGACTTGCCCTCATTGACGCCCAAGCCGACGATGCTTTTACCTTGCAACGATTTCTGCTTGGTGCCGACGATATGCTTCATGATATCGGAGAGCGAGATCATCCCGACCAGTCGATCTTTGACTTTCTTCCTTCTGGTGATTTTGCACTTGGTCGTCGTCGGTTGATGATCATCGGGTTCGAATTTCGGCGGACTTGCTTCAGCTAATGGCGTCGCATCTTCATCCCTTAACTGTCCTTCCTCTCCCGTTACTTCCGTCTCGATCACCGTCTCGTCCGCTACGATCACAAATCGATGCACCCGTCTTTCTCCAATGTACTTGAGGATATTTGCCAGTGAATCTTCTGCAGAACAGACCGTAACCCCGCAAAACTCTGGCGAACGACGAGCTATAGCCTCTGCGATCGTGAGATCGAGTAACCGGTAAGCATCCGAGCGAACAAGGTCCTAGTAGCCAGATTCGATAATGCGAAAAGTACTTAGTTTGCTAGTCACATGCACCAAAATAGTGGAGAAGCTGCAATGGATATTGAGAAAGTTCGATGACATACCACAATATCCACTGCTTCATACATATCGATCACGCTCCCATCAGCATCGACAATGGGGACGGCACTGATCCCACGCTCGGAAAACATGTGGACGACATCGAAGACGGTGGTATCTAAAGTGGCCGTTGCGAGGGGATGGAATGGGTCGTGATGATGCTCGTTGTCGCTCAAGTGATTCATGGGCTCTGATTGATAGGATGAAACATAAGAGCCTATTCCCAGTGATCCTATCGACTGAGTCAGTCGAATCACATCAGATTGGGCCTTCAAATCATGCAACCAAAGTCAGTTATTTTTTCTTTTTGCTAATCAGCTACAGGGAGTAGTTCGTTTTTCAAGTTTGGGGCGAATGGGGCGTACATTAATAGCGATGAATTTCAGGACTCTGTACTGAGTTAGTACGCATAAGATTGAATCTTTCCCGGTCACTGAGTCTACGTCGATGAGTGGTAGACGACGGGCATGAGTCCGAATGAGTTGTTCGCAAGCTTCAATTAACGGCTGATGAGCAAAAGCACGAAGGGTCGTCAGAATTGAGGTTCCATGTACTATCTGAGGTGGATATCGATGGCTTTGTACTAACTGCATCTGGGTGGACATGGACTGTGGGTGGTGGAGGAGCCTCGATAGCTTGTTCAATATCTCTCAGGCGAGACAATGGGAATGACTCTACTTCAGCAGCCGCGAGTGCATATGGATCTTCTGCTGGACTGCTAGTTGCCGATTGATTTATTTCGGCAGGCTTGCTTCCGGAGGAGGATAATGGGGTTGTAGGGGGGATTTGCGGTTGGTCATTGATGGGGTGTTGGATCCTGAGCGATGGTGATGATGTTGCTGATGATGATGATGAATGGGCGCTATTGAAGGATACTGGTGAGGCCTTCAAGTAAAAGTATTGGATCACTATTCTCGCATCGCGTCCAGAAGGAGAAACCGGAGATTTAGACCGCGCATACATCGGACCAAAGCGTGCGTGAAAAAAAAAGGAAAAGAAAAGTAAGAAAAAGTGGATTTCAGCAGGAATTCCCTAAGATTACGGAGCTGTTTATTTTTCGGGTTTTCCTGTGAGGAATGTTGAGTAAGACCAAAAAAGAGGTGATTGATAGGATTGGCCTTACAGTGAATGACATCGGTCAAAGTAAACATTCCACAAAACTTGAACGATGAAGAGTCGTACAAGGGCGCTGAGACGACGCCTGGTTGAAAGCCGATTCCCGTCAACGAAGATCGGAGATATGATGCAAGCATAAAGGTACTCACCATTGGTCATCAAAGCAGTTAATGCACGTTTGATTCCTAACCTGGAATAAATAAGGGAGGGTTGTCAGCCAAACAATCTTTCCACTCTAGAATTTTTGCTTTCAAGAATTGTGAAAAAGTAATAAGTGAGAAGAAAAGAAAAAAAGAAGAAAAAAAAAACGAACGAGTTGTCAAAGACGATCAGCCTGTAGCTTTCAGGCAGAATATCATAGCAAGTTTTTTCAGCAAGGAATTCTCGCAAGTTTGCCAGAGCTTGGGTATGAGCGTTGGTGGGTTTGACGAGCTTTGAAGGGTTATTGGTGGTCGTTGTTGTTGTTCTGACAGCCGTTGTTGAGGTCGGTATTGTTCCTGAAGCCATTTGGAAGTTTTAAGGTCTTGCAGAACAAGCTGCAGAGGGAAAGACAAACTGAAACAGCACACCCTCAACTGGAAAAGCTTGCATGGAGAACATCCACTGAGCTTCCGATCGGGACCCCCGACGTAGACCCGGTACTCCCCGAGCTGGACCTCAGACAACGAGACCGCGGTATGCGGGGATTACCTGGTAGGGGCCCCCGCGCCCCATCATCAGATATGCTGAATTTTGGCACCTTGAATCAGCCAGAAGAATTCTTATTTTCAAGGGGGAGGGTGGAGCAAGTCAAGCTTAACTACAAACATCTCTTGTCGTGAGAGTGCTGTGTGGGCAGGTCTGGGCAGCTGCCCAGCCTCAGGACCTGGTATTCTTCCTACAAGTAAGTCCCAATGGCCCTTTTGGCCTTGAACAAAATTGGGATGCCAAAAAGTTTGGATCAGCCAAAATACCGCCTGGTTGAGTCACAAGTCTCTTGGGTTTGTTGATTGTCAGAGTCATTGTTCTTTTGAGCATTCCTAACAATTTCCTCAAATGTCATGGTCAAGCATAAACCAGGCTTGTCTGATTGAGATGGAGATAGCAAAAAAAGAAACACCTGCCTTGAGGTATACTAAAATCATCCCAGATACAGCTGATTGAACTTTTGTAAAACTCAACATGAAACAAGAAGGTTTTACCGCTTTCACACAGGTAGAGTGAGAATTGTTCAGATGACTGGCCCACCCAATTCCTTGCAATATTACTTGCTCTAAAAAAGAAAGAGATTAAAACTGAGGAATATCGAGGCAAAGACTGTTGAATTGTTCTTCAATCAGTTGACGACTAAATAATCCACAATACTATAAAAAGATAAACATTTTTTTAAGCAAAAAAAAGATTGAGAGATTGACGAGCAGATTTTGTGACACAAATAACATATATGTATATAGAAAGACAGGTTGAAGAAGAAGGACACACACAAACTGATTGGACTACTCCCCTTATCCCAAGATTTCACTATCAAAAATATACACTTTGTTGGAACGATACTTGTTACCAATGAAGGACTGGACGGCACTGTTGATTAACCCAAGAAAAGAAGAGAGAAAAAAAAAGATAAAAAGATAAAAGGACAAGAGAAAGACGGTTATCCAGGGTTAGTAGTAGTAATAATAATAATAAAAAGTCCAACAATCCATGACGGACTCAAGAAAGAAACTTTGTACAACACAGAAAGGCACACAGAGAGCTGAACAGAGACTTCTAATTAAACCAAAGAAAAGAAAACAGAAAAAAAAATCAATCAATCTCTACAGCTTCCTTCATCTTCAACAGTAACCAAGCGATGATTGACGAGATTTTCCTGGTCGAGGTCGTCGTCATCAAGGCGAGAGAAGGCGGCCTTTCGGCCGAGAGTATCGGCTTGATCCAAGTGAGCGGCCTTGCGTTTCTTGAGGACTCGAGCGCGTTTCTCTTCAGAGAGCAGCAACTGATTAAGGATGCTAATGATCTCTGGGCTGAAGCGAGGAGCGTCATCGAGGGGGGTCTGAGATGATTGATTGGCCAAGGATTGGACGGCTTGGATGAGGACGGAGATGGAATGGACAGGGGCCAGGAGGGCTTGGCCAGCACCACGATCGTTGGCAACGGATTTGGCGGGTGTCGAGAGTCTGTGGGACGAGTGGGGCGAGTTGAAGCCGATCGGCTTGAGCTTGGTGGGTGTGCAGAGCGCCGAGCGTTGGAAGGCGCCCTGTTTACGTTTGCTGGGCGACTTGAATGGCGAGGGGCCGGGGTTGTTATGAGAGGTGGACGGGGTCGATGGACGGGATAGCCCGGGGCGCTCGTTCAGACAGCTCACTAATCCTCGGGTCTGCAGCCCAGACTCAAGTAAGTCGGCCCATTCACTCTCGCTCACCGGGTTGATGCCAACGTTGAAGCTGTTCCGGCTACCGTATCCATCGCCCGGCTTCAGACAGTCTCGATAGATTTCATAGGCTTGGCTTCGTGTCACTCCACAGCCTACATTATTCGTCTCATCTTGCTCTCGAGACCATGCGACGCAAAGACAAACTAGAACTAAGCTTTGATGAAGGTTGAGATCTTGAAGTTTTTTCAAACATTCGGCCTGGGAGGTATTAAACGTAGGTGATTCTAATATCCCACTGGTCTTGAGATATTTGACAACATCGCTGGGTGAGATTTTGGGGGCAGTGTTGGGAGTGAAATGATTACATGGGTCCTTAGTCTTTGCCTTGGACCACTCGTTTTCAGAGCATCGGCCACCCAGATCAGGCGCCAGTTGAGAGGTTGAAATGATCCTTGTGAACTTGCGCATCTTGGTAGGCGTGTCGAGAACCGACTTTTGAGTTCCCAACGATTGCTCCAGAAACTGACTGTTACGGATCGCGTTCTGCTCCAAGGAGTCGACCAACTTACGCAGGATGGAAAGGAAAGTTCGCAAATCCCCGGTCACCGCGGCCACCTTCTTCGCACAGAGCTGGAGTGCAGCCGGGTGAAACAGAGGGATCGAAGTCGCGTCTTGGTTCGAAGAGACGTCGGGTGTAGAACAGGCAAACAGCTTTTGAGGTGTGGATACGGGCCAACCGGGACCAGCTGACTGGGCGTAAGATGTGTAAAGATGTCTCAAACGTTGTTTAGCAATATCGACCAAGTCGGTCGACTCAAACGACGTGAAGTGGATCAATTGGGGTTCGAGGTGGGTGTTATTTGCTGAAGACGCAGAAGATTTGACGAGTCGAGTGGTTAGGTCCAAGGTGTTTGCAATTCCGACAATTGTAAAATTGGCATTGGGCGACCGTTGAGACAACGACAAGAGCGGGGTAATCAAAGGAAGCTTGGAGGCGGCCAGGTAATCGATCTCGTCCAAGATGATCAGGCTGAATAACACAGAAGAAAATTATCAGACCGGTTGGAAACGTAGTAAAGAAAGGTAAAACATGAAAACGAACCTTGGCAAAACTTTATTTTCCATGACGTGTGTTTCGACCAAAGCACGTGACGTGAGATGTTTGCCATTCGTGGAAGCAGAGCGGGCGATCCCAAGGCAAGCCGCTACGTGATTCCACAATTGTTCGTCCAGTGCGTTTGATCCAGTCCCGGAAGATAAGCCGGTAGCTCCAGTAGAAGTATTCAGGGCAACGCAATTGATGAAATGGACTTGAACCCCAGCCATGTTGAGTGCGCGTCCAACTACGTGGTCCTGGTTCAACAAAACTGATTTGATCATGTGAGTCTTACCGGTCCCAGGCGGTCCGGAAATGTAGAGGCTTCCGGAGGAGGAATTAGCGTGAGTACTGGACGAGTCCACAGGAGCTTGGCCGAGGTTCGTTAAGCTGGGGTAACGCTCTGAAAGAAACTTCTTCAGTTTGTGTAGCTCTTTGGAACGCCCTAAAAAATCATCGCAAGAGATGATATCCGTGGATGAGAGTTTGAGCAGATGACGAGCATGAGCAAACACGTTGGAAAACCCGGCAAAAGTCTTGAAAGGTATGGGGTTGTTTTTCGGAGTTTCTACCACTAGTTTGTCACCTGTTCGGTCCAAGAGAGTAAGCAAAAGATTAGTCTGATTCCACAACAGTCGATGTGGAGAGAGCGATTCCGGAAAGATCTGATCAAACTTACATAACGAAGTCAAATTTTTCGATAGGCTTTGGGGCTGAGAGCGAGATTTAGAGATGCCGGATCTGGTTTGGATATTTTCGATGGCTCTCAAGCGTTTTCGGACGGGTGAGCCGGCCTCTTGAACACAAGATGCCATACTGTGCGACTTGGGAAGCGGAGTAGCTTCTGGGAAACCGACCGATCCATTGTTTTTGCAAGGTTTTGAGGAGCGTAAGGTTCTTTTCTTTGGGGAGGGAGGGGGTGAACTGGACCAGGCGATAGTATCGGATGTGCATATGTCCGAAGATGCTTCAGGTTCAGAAACGTCGCAGTGAAGAGATCGAGGTCGTAAGCCGACGCGTTTCGATTGAGCAGATTTCAGAGGCGCCTTCGATACCAATGTGAAGCCTTGAGGTATCGAGTCGAGTCGAGAGGGTGTGCGACGCGTGGAGACCATATCGAGAGAGAGAGAGAAGAGAGGTGATAGAGTAATCAAGAAATCTAGCAATCCAAGTGTAAGATAAAGTACGAACGAATGGGACCAAGACAGAAGTTGGATATGAAGCTTGAGAGATAGAGTACTACTACGTGTTGCTTTTGAGAATTCGGACGCGAGACAATGTAATGCGGATATTTGGAGGATGGAGAAAGCAGTTGCAGGAGAGGAGTTGAGGAATGCAAAAGCGTTCGAGTCAAGTGACGGGCGATGGCAAAAGAGACTCAACACACACACACCAGCTCAATGCAAAGTAGTCTTGGCCCAAACTGAAACACCCGATACAACGCGTCGAGTGAGAGCAGGATCAGTTCGCGTCGAGATGCACATCTGGCTTATGTAAGCCCGCACATGCATTTTGGTTTCCCCAGCAACACCGACAAGCCACAACCCGATCTCATCAACTCAACCAATTCAATGCCAACGCACCATCTGCAGCAGCTCAGTATCATCGTTTGATCAACTATCAGTATCGATGGATGAACGAACAATGTATAAGCCTATGGACCAAAATTATTTCCCGCTTGAAATAAATAAGTATCGAAAAGACTTCTCACCATTAACCTGCGATCCATCTTGGTTCAGAACCCTTGATCTACAATCAAAGATGTCTCTCCGCCTGATTGGAAGGGATTTTGATCCAGCTTTCCAGTCAAGGCACACATAATTGCAATCTGTGGCAAAGCTACGGAAGCCCACAGGGGACACCAATCAGCTCACCATTTTGAAAAATGAAAAATGACTTTTTGAAAATACAGAATTCTGTATTCCATTCAAAATACAGATTTCTGTATTTTAACATTCTAAAATTTGAAACGTAAGTGCTGGATCAGATACCCATACATGCATAGTTGCATAATACCTTTTGCCATCTCATTCCGACAAACCAACACTGCATCAGCCCGGTACGGTCCTACTCCCGGGCGGATGCTGATTCACTAAGAATTACCCGGTGAGGAGAGTACTCCCTCCGATGGCTGGTTCAGATCGGTCATTGGTGGGGGTACCCTCTATGACCGGTCATCACCGGTCATCGATGGGAGTACATACTCCCTTTCATGAGCAGTCAGACTTGGCCATCAAAGAGAATGGGCAATCCCTTCAATTATCGGTCTGAGTTGGTCATCAAAGGCGGTGCACATATAATCCCAATGACCGTACAGACCAGTTGTTTTTGGACCAGTCCGTTTTTGGCCGGAATACATGAAAGGTGAGCTAATTAAACACCGGTCCTCTAATGAACAGTGGTTCTGAACCGGTCATTGAAGGGAATGAGTACCCCTCTGGATGACTGGTTCAGAGTTGGTCATTGAGGTGAGTAAGTATTCCTCTCGATGACCAGTTCTGAATGGCCATCGAGGAAGGGAGATACTTCCCTCAATGACCAGTGCTGAACGGTCAGCGAGGGGGGTACTTACTCGCCTCAATGACTCGCTCTGACCTTTCTTCAATGACTGGTCGTCAGCTCCTGTCATGGAGGTTGAACCTTCCGGGCCAATAGGGTATTGGTACGCGGAGACGTGATGCCGGGAGGGCCACCGAGCCGATTGCCACCGGTGCCGATTGTATGTTTAGAATTTTTTCTTAGCTGTTATGCATTATGCGCTTCCCGACTAGGATTTATTCGGCAGTGATGTTTCAAATTTTAGAATGTTAAAATACAGAAATCTGTATTTTAAATGGAATACAGATTTCTGTATTTTAATTTTTCACTTTTCACTTTTCAAAATCGTGAGCTGATTGGAGTCCCCTGTGGGCTTCCGTACAAAGCAGACATACATATATCCGGGCGGAAATGTGTACCAAATTGATGGGGATCCTGATGGAGAGCGGCCTGAAAATTTCGCCCGTTGTGTCTGTCGCACTCGCAACAGGGGACGACTGCCTCCGCGTTGTGTGGCAGAACAGCGCCTTGGAGGCGTCTTCACCCTGCACGGCAGCCATGGCGTCCCGGGCTACGCCCGGGTGGCGCCGGGCTCGCCCGCGTGTGTGTATGAAGGGATCTCCGATTACGAAAAGAGCACCAAAACCCAGCTCACTCGTGCAGACCTACAAGAAACATTACCTCTTCTCCCAACACGTTTTCCGACACCTCATCTCAGATCATCTCTCGTAACATAACTTCCAACAAAACCTTTACGGCTGCTTCACCAGCCAAGTGTCCAATAAATATAGTACTAGGGTGACCCGCGGCGTTAGCCCGCCGCGGGCACCCTAGGACCTTGGACCATGATACAGGACATTGAACTGGTGACTGAAGTCAAAAAAGTCAGATTGAAGGATTGTGACAGGCAAAAGAACTTAGATTTCATGTTCAGATCTGCAATGACAAAAAGAAAGATTTCACTACGTAAAATGTTTTGTAAAGTAAAATGTAATATGTAGTAAAAAATTATTTTTAAAAAAAAAGGACCTTCCCTAAGGGACCCCCCTAAACCTAAGAGGATCCAGTAGGAACACAAAGATCCAGTGGCAGGCAACAGTAATTGAAAATAAATCAAAATTCAGCTCAGTTACTGAGAATCATCAAGGACATGTTTAATGACATCAATGTTGACTACATTTGTGGTCTCAGGTCGTGATTTTGGATTTGCAACCATGCATACGGAAAGTCCTGCAACACTCGTCACTCGGGATAAAGCAACATACAGCTGCCCATGCCCAAAAACAGGCTGGGGGAGATAGACAGACACTATTGATAAGGACTGTCCTTGAGCCTTGTTGATGGTAAGGGCAAATGCAACCGAAACCGGGAATTGATACCGCTTGAATGAGACTCCGTAGACGTGATCGGCCTTGTGTGTCAGAGAGATTTTTGGAATGAGTTTCTCATGCCCAGCACGTGATCCGGTTAAGATTTTGCACCATAAGACATGATCTGATATGCCTAGGACTAATAACCTGGTACTGTTTGAAAGTCCATTTTTCAGATCCAAGTTGCGAAGTAGAATAACAGGTGTCCCAACTTTAAGTTTCAACTTGCAGAGGGGAAAACCGGGCAGCAAGAAAGTGTTCAGAACTTCCTCTGGAATGGCCTCTTCACTATCCATGCCGTCGTCTTCACTGGCCATTGCATCGACTGAGTGTGAAATGTGGTAACCACCTGGGAGGTAATCACAACAGAGTTCATTGAGTCTTGAAACATTGACATTCAATGGGGCAAGAATCAGTCTCTTGGCAAAGTAATCGGCCAATGTGTCAAAGTCCTGAGATTGAGCCGTCAACTGTAGATCCGTGTAGACCGCTGAAATCGCCTTTTGCTCAACAACTTCTGGAGAGGAGTCCATGAAAACAGAGCCATAGAGAAGTTCAATGTCTGCGGATACATCTTGCTGAGAAGAGCCTGATCCCACAGACAACAGCCACTTGTAGAATTCGGCATTGAGCTGAGTGATTTCTACATTGGTGTTGATGAGCCGCAGGTTCTCTGTAAGCTGAAATCTGAAGACATTAGCCCAGAGGGGGGACTTGATCATGCAAACTGCCCCTTGGTCTAATACAGTCCCTCCTGGAAATACAGGCAAAGTTTGTCAAAAGTCGCCACCAAAGATCACCAACTTGCCACCGAAAGGCTCATCAATATCAAGGAGTTCGCGGAAGGCTCTGTCAACACTTTCAACAGCATATCGGCTTTGCATTGAAATCTCGTCCCATAAGATTACTCAAGCACTACGCATAACGTCGGCCATAGACAACCGGTGATCCCAATTGCACTGAGTAGAGCTGTTGACATCCAATGGTATTTTGAATCGTGAGTGAGCCGTCATGCCGTTCACCAACATCAAACCTGCAACACCGGAGGATGCAACCATAATAACAGGAATATTTGAGGCTGATAAGTAATGAATGATTGTATTCATTAAAAAAGTCTTCCCACATCCACCAGGGCCGTCTATGTACATGAGTCCTGCTTCCAGCCGATCGGTCATTTCAACAACTGTCTCCATGATGATCTTCTGCCTCTGATTGAGCCGATCCGACATGTCAAGGAATTGCCGAGCGTGTTCCCGAACCGTTTGCTGATCCTCATGAGAGTTGGACATAAAACGTTCCCATAGTTTGGAGTCGCAGATCAAGCTACCAAGACCGACATCTGAAAGGTGTTTACTGTGTCTTGCCAGAACTTGATCCAATAGGAAATAACACAGCTGAATCTTTTTGTATTCTGTGGGGTTTTCTATGCCATACTTTGACACTAACTCGTGATTGAGATCGTCAGACAGAGGCTCAATGAAGCGGTTGAGGATATTCAGGGGGTCGGAAGGTGGGCTGTGGAGTAGAAGCATGCAGAACATAAACCTGAGAGAACAACCTGTCATCCATAAAGAGGCTTCAGACATCGATTGGATGTAGTGCTGGTCCGACACCAACAATCCAAGTGCAAGAGCAGCTTCTCGGAAAGTGGGGTGAATGACATTATCAACAGTCCGTAGATCCTTGAAACTGGTTGGCCCACGTCTGTTCAGTAGAAGGAGTCGCAGAAAATAACGTTTGCCTTCGTTGATTGAAGCAAAATACAGCCGGCCAATCATGTCTGAGCGTTGCTTTCGAGGCTTGAATTCCTTGTCCGACTTGTCCCAAGCAAAATACTTTGGAATTTCCTGATAGAGTAGACTGCGTGCTCGAACTCCAAGCCCAATTGCATTTTCTGAGTTGAGGCGGAAAAACTCAGTCAAGGTGGTCTGAGCAGCTTTCCCATTCTCCATTTGTTTTGCCAATTGCTCTTCGTCAGCATAGTAGACCGTATGTTTTGCTTCGAGGTGTACTCCCAGGCGCTGGATAGCTGGATAACGATCCCTTGTAGGAAACTGGAATAATCTCCACGCAGCTGTGTTCAGATAAGCCATGCAGTTGTTAGTGAAAGACCCCTGGCTTCATTTTTATCTATAGAGCTTACCCTCCGAAGGGCCAACATAGTGACCATTGATAAATTTTTGCGTTTCGTCGCCATGAGTCAGTCGCATTGATGACCGATCAACACCTTTGCAAATGTACTTGAAGATATACCTGAGAGCTTTGACACCGTAAGGGATCTCGACGTTGATGTGACACTGGTAACGCAGGAGTAGATACTTGTTGTAGGGGACAACATGCCCATTATGCATCAGCTTGTTCTGCTTGATGACAGTGCGCCCATTGTTTCGCCGTCGGTACTGAGGGTAAGCATCATCCACCAATGACGTCTCACATACGAAAGGCTTGGGGAAATCTTCCTTGCAGCGATCATCTTTCCAGCAGTTGCTTGAGGCGTTGCATGGTCCATGGAGCATGCAAGTCGTCACAATTCGATGGAGCTCTGGCTCCTCGACGGGGTCTGGAATCTTGGCCGTAACTAAGGCATCGACCGCGTCTGGGGTTTGAGGGATGCAGGAGGGACGAAGGATTACGATTATGTGTGTATGGGGCAGCCCTTGCTTTTGGAACTCGATGGTGTAGACGAATGACACAACTTCCCCGAGTTTCTTGTACTTGACAATGTCGTGAATTAATGACGTCAGCTTCAGTTGAAAGACTCGAGTGACCAAATCCGGTCGATCGGCAGGACACTGATGGGGCTTTAACGCGTTGAGGACTTCAGGCCATCGTGGGTTTGCTGTCATTGTGATGAAAAGGGAAGGCTTCCCAAACTTGCGGACAGAGGCCATTGAATCTTGATACAATTGGTGCATGTTCCTTGGCGAACCGGAAAATGATGATGGCAAGACTATCCGCCTACCTTGCGGATCAACTCCATCCATCAGAGATTCTTCAATCCCGCTGTAGATGTCAGCCTTGATTTGTGCTTGGTTGTAACGGAAGTAGTCCAACCGAGACCGTTCGACGCATAGGTAAACATCCGTGAGAAATTCTTGAAACAGAGATTTTCCGTTAAGTATTGCTGAGAACGTTCCAGTACGATCAAAGATCATCGCAGCATACCACTCGCACTCAGGCTGTCAATGGGCTTGGGCGCCCATGGGCTACCCACGCCCCGACGGGTCTCGGGGCGGGTTTGGACAGGAAAGGGTGGAGAATTTCCCAAGTGTGACCCGCCCCATGAAGACCCACCAAATTCATGGGCCGGGCTTGGACAGGCTTCCTGGAGGTGGGCCGGCCCATTGGCTCACAAAAAGCCCCAGTTTCCCTGAATATCATCAGAATTAACCTTATAATATGTACCCACAGTACATATTATTAGGTCTGAAGGCCCAGAATTGGTACCTAGATTATCAAATTTTCTTTATCCATTGTTTAGGCCTCCATGCAATGCAAACTTGACCTCCCATCTCACTCCCTTGAGTGACAAATTGCTCAAGATTGTTACTCAGGTCAAAAAAACCATGAGCAAATTTTTGATGGGCAGACCCAAGACCCGCCCCAAGCCCACCTGTCTCCAAGCCGGGGCGGGTTTGGGCAGACTTTTATAAATTCCGGCCCGGCCCGCCCCGCCCCACATTCCCAGGCGGGGCGGGTTTGGGCATGGTTTTTGGGACCGAGCCCGGCCCATTGCCAGCCTGAACTCGCACTGGGAGATGGTGGCAGCTGCAGGAAAAAGTAAGGAAAAGTCAGCATCCCATTCAACTCTGACTGCTCCAGTGGTTCAGGTTAGCTTACTTCTTTCTGTTCCGCTAGGCCAGCCATGTATCCACCCTGTTCGCCATTAGGGAAGAACATGGGATACCGGAGGGGCAAGTAGCCACTGAAATCATCGGTGATGTGGAGGAGCCCACCGCTATGTTGCCTTAGGACGATGTCTCTCGGGCCAATCACTTCAGGATCATCATTGTGTATGACCACACCGACTTCATTGGTTTGGGGAGCATTGTAGACGTTTTGATCAAGACCTGGGCGCACAAAGTTACGAAGTGCATACTGAACATTAGGATTTACGCCAGCATTGTGGCCGACCATTCGAAAAAATCTAGCATAAGAATTGTGCATCGAGAGGTGTCTTTGAATATCAAACAGCAGCTGTTCATCCACAGGGGCTCGGGCCTGATTTGCGCGGTGTGATGCCTCTTGAGGATCATTGCCACCAGTCACATAGATTTGAGCAAAAGCTGCATGTGAGGCATCATTGGGAAAAACCGTGCCCATGTCGTGGTAGAGAGCGCCAGAGACTCTGAAGGAGAAAATGCCTCGCTGGCCTTGAACCGATTGGTCAACGGTTGCACCACACAAAGCAAATGACAGGCAGTTGTTGTACGCTCGGAGCTGTCTCTGAAATGCCAATGAAACTGTTTCAAAGTCAAAAGATCATTATTCTCCATTAGCATGAACATATTTATAAAACATGAAATTGGTGATGATTGTTGTAAGAAACCAAAAGCAAGCAATCACTCACGTTCATCTCTTCCGGTGAATAGTGGGACCAAAAATTGAGGGTAATCGATCTCATCATATCTCACGGGAGGGACAACATCACCCTTCTTGCAGCACATTGAAAAAGAAGCAGACAGAGAATTGGCGTCGTTTTGAGTCCGCTTGCCTTGCCAGTGCAATGCCCCGCAGCTTGCGCAACTATCGGTCATTTGGCCAATGTCATGTGGGAACTGGTTCCCAAATTTCCTGTAGAGCTCCGACTCGGTGTTAAATGCACCTGTTGGAGAATCAATCCTATCCGGCAGCAACAAAGATGATAGTGATATACGACGCTGGCGTCTTGGCACTCGCGTTTGATTTCTTTCAGCTTGGGTGTTCGGTGCAGGGCGGGGGGATTCATTGCGCATAGGGGGGGGGGATTCACTCTGGGCAGGCCCATTCCGCGTCGGAGGTGGAGATTGAATCCGGGAAGCCCCAGACGGCTGATTTTGATTTCAAGAGCCCCTAGTACCACGGTTACCTCTGTGTCGCGACTGGGCAGGCGGCGGTGATTGACCGAGAGCAGACCTCCCCGGCAAAGGCGATTGATCGCGAGCAGGCGGTGGAGATTGATCCCGGGCCGCCCCAGACGGCCTTCGATTCCGAGAGCCCCTAGTTCCACGGTTACCTCTGCGTCGCGACTGTAGAGCATTGAATTGAGACCTGATAATAGCGTCCGAAGATCGGGTCATGATGTTGGTTGAGCGCTGCCCTCTGATACGATATAAAAGTATACAAAAGGCAACAGAAGCGTATCAGAACGATCGATATTCAACTCAATGGTAGAGATAGACAGCGAAGGACACTTTACTGTAGCGGGGACCGAGGCTCCGTTCAGCCAATACGAAAGAGAGGGAAGTTGGAGGTGAAGAATCCAAAGCTTGTTATCCTGAATCTCCAATGATCCAATATTTGAGCCCGAAGTAGATGGAGGAGGCTCCGTTGAGCCGATTCCTCTGAGCCGGTATAGTCTTGACGGATCAGTTCCGCTATGTACGTTTAGGAAGAGATCGGCTCCGTTGAGCCAATAGTGACTTGGAGTAAAAGAATCGGAGCCTATCGGGGCCAATATTTCCAATGAATTGAAGTGGAGTACAGTCAGCGCCACCCACACTGTACAGTACGCCCTCAACATATTAAAACGGGCAACCGTGCGATTCCGACGCGTTTCTAACGGGTCGCTCAGGAGGGGAATCGGTTTGAACGATCCCAGGTCTCGCTACTTGTTAACGATCCCAGGTCTCGCTTTTTGTTTTACTTCAACACAGCCGTCAGATGAATGCCAGGCAACAGTGGCCGAGCATCGCGCTTCTGAACTGTCACTCATTGCCAATCGCTGAACGCGATCTCTTTTACTTGTCCAAATTTGTCACTCATTGCCAATCGCTGAACGCAATCTCTTTTACTTGTCCGAATTTTATTTCGGGGGAAGGTATTCGCGGCATACATGCATTACTATAAGGGAGGAAAGGAAGTATGGGACATAGGGAGCACGGAAACAAAAGCTAATGTAGATCGACTAAAACTGGGGAGAGGAGCAAGGTTCAGGCCTTGTTCTTCAGTCTCTTCTGAGCGTTGGACAGGGTGGACGATCCACCGATGGCCTTGGCGACAGGGAGAGGAGCAGCCGGTCGCTTCGCTGGCGTCGGCGTCTTGGTCGACGACTGCGACAACTGCCCTGTCGTAGTCCCGAAGTCGTAAGGGTTGTTGTCCTCGGAGACTTCGCCTTCCTCGGTCCTCGTCTCCTGTGGAGAGAAGTTGCCGATGGAGGCATTGGGGGTTGGGACAACGGTCCCAGGGGTGCCGGAGCTGACCCTCATCTGCGAAATCGGGGTGCCCAGCACCCCGGAGCCAATTGTGTTGCTCGCTGAGGGAGATGAGCCCGCGGCGGCGGAACCGAATCGCTTGCTGATCGTATAGGAATGTGAGCAAATGAACCAAAGCCTAATGTGAAGGAGAGAAATTACAAATTTTTGGGCAACTTTGTCATTGCTGAGTTACCAACGCACGGACTGGCTGCCTGTGAATTGGGACGGCCACCCTGAGAGAGCGAGACCAAGAGGACCTAAAACAGGAGTGTTAGCTATTGAGAGAGGGCTGAAGAGGACAAAACGCTCACCTGTACTTCCCAAGCTGACTCGGACTCGACAAAGTTCAAAATGTATCCACCTAAGACAACCTCGCGACCCCTGTAAAAACTGCCGAAGGTCCCCCGCAAGAGGCTATTCCCTGGGATGTAATAGATAGTTGAGAATGACACTGCTTGCTTTAACTGAGCAAGCAACGTCGTCAGAAAGATCACACAATTCATGGAGATAGACGACTTACAGTGTTGTGGTAGTCTGTGTGACGAAGAACGACTCGTAGTGTCCTCGCCGCCGAGTCGCTTTGGCCAGGAGTCGTAATCTCCTCCAATTCGGCGACAACACCGTAGCCAAACACCCTGACCTTTCCAATCAAAAGGGATTGTCAGGTATCGGTGCCGGCATAAGTGGTACTTCGACCGAGTAAGAGGTTCAGCTGCTGCTCGAAGAAAAGGTTGTAAACGCCAGTTGCGGTCTTGACCAACCGGCCGAACAGCAGATAAACGTTGCTGTTGAGGAGCGCGGTGGCTCGTGAGCCGTATCCCACAATTTCCACGCCTATGTTTGTTTCGCCTTTGTCGGGGAGGTTGGCGACGATCGAGCTGATGTAGCTGAAACTGCCGTACATCTGGTTGTCCTTCAGTGAATTGGGACCCTAAGAAGATTTCGAACGTTATGCGGGAGATCGGTAGATGTAGAATGAAGATTATCAATTAACATTACTGTTGAGATATCGGATCGGAGGAGCGAGGGAAAGAAAACGAAACGACACGCTGACCAATTGATGGATGTCCCATGGGCCCACCGTGAACATGGGATGGCTGATCCTACGTTGGGGTGTAGCGCCGGAACCGGTGCTGCCGCTGTGAGAACTCCTTTGGGATGGATGGCAGTCCTGTGAGGGGGAAATAGCAGTTATGATATTTCAGGTATGTTATGAATTTATTACAACTGTTACGGGTGGTTTGAAAGACCTGCCCCTCTAATGTACTACACTAGAATTCTGACAACAATTTTATTTTATTGTTGTGGCAAAAAAACTGATGATGGAGAAAACTATATGTAGTAGTCTCTTATCAAACCTAGATCAACGTGGAATCAGCTGAGACTTAGTGGAATTTTGAGTGGAAAGAATTTGGTGTGGGTTACCGCAGGCTGGAATCAGATAATGGAAAGAGTTGAAAAGCTGGGAGATATTTTTTGTATGTTTTTATATGTTTATATGAGTGAAGTAAAGTAAATGTTGATATGGAAAAGACTGAGAGGAAACTGATGATAAATATGAACTATTCAAAGTGTCTTTGCCCTCCTCCTTAATCTTCAGTTAAGAGAACAAATGGGTTAAGATCACTTTGACTTGTTAAGAGCACAAGGGGTGATACTTGCTACTTGAATTCTTCTATGCTTCCTGAGGTATGAAAGATGTTGATGGGCCACCTGATTGAGATCACACTGTTGGATTTTACCTTAATTTGACTTGAAGATTCTGGGTGAGATGTGTAGCTTGGTAGATGTGCCGGATTGGCATGAGGAACTGATCTGAGGAGGGAGAAATGACCTCCTTATATAGTAAATTGTGAGGGATTTTAGCTAGTGAGGATGTCCTGTGAGGGATTTATGCTGGTGTGACTTCTTCTTTGAGGGATTTTTGCTGCTTGGAAACTTCTATTGAGCCATTTTTGCTGGTGTGTCATGTGATCTGCACTGCCCCATACAGAAAATCACATGTCTTGTGGAATGTTCTTTCTATGTTGAGGCATTTTTGCTGGTCTGTTGTGAAAATACGTGTGATCCAAGCGTGTGGCTGGTGATGTCATGTGAAAATACGTGTGATCCAAGCATGTGATCATGCATGTGACTAAACATGTGATCATACATATGCCTGTACAAACAAAGATTGCAACTATGCACTTATATATAAATCTATACTATGTACTACCCAGGACAACTATACTATACTGTAGAAAAAAAACTGCTTTATCCAAATAACTTTTGACTGAGTGGAGCTAGCCTAGTGGTTCCAGTGAGTGACTATGGGTTAAATGACCTGTAGAATCTATTGAAGTAATAATAACACCAAGAATCTAGCCTATTATCAAGAGTGGATCATGATTTTATGCAATTTGGTACTTGAAACACATTTGGCACACTACACCGCCCATGGCTGTGCTGATGCCCATGGCGAGTTTGAGGAGTGAGTTGTCGCTGTTGGAGGTCGGGGCAGACGGGATGTCAGGGAGGGGGGAGGAAAGGCAGCCAGAGTTATTGATACTTTGTCCGATTGTGCTGCGGTGATGATAGACACAGATATTTGTTAGGTTTAGGGTTGAAATACAGGCTTGCGAGACTTATAAAGGGGGGCTTACTTGTCCCCTTCGGACTTGAGAGGTCCATCGGTCGAAGTACGATCCATCCAAAGTAGTATCGAGAATACAGAATCGAGAATCCAGATGCTAGAGCCTGTAATACTACAGAACACCGATGAGGAAATAAGTACAGTAAAGAAGCTAAGAAAAAAGAATTACCTGTAAATTCGAAAGACGCAGATGGGTACGTATGAAAGGCGCAGATGATGCATGTGTCAGCCAATGGCGTGACCAAAGCCAAACAGAGAAAAAACTCGTAGAGAAAATACATGACTCGTGACAGCTCGTGACAACAGAGAAAGTGAGAAGAGATACAACATGAGATAAGAGGCTTCAGCACGTAGATACATACTCAAACAAATACATAGTCACATACATAGTAACAAACAGAGCACCAAACAGTAACAGTGCCGGGGCACACAAAGAAACGATCTGACCTACATAGATAAAGAGAAGACGACCCTTGCGGCTCGACGAAAGTAAGACAACTGAGCTTTCTTTTTTTTAAATAGTATACCACAACCAAACATCATCATGTACATCTTGCGATCAATCACAGTCTTGACAAGTGTTGCGATCGGACTGGTCGTCACCAGCGACCTGGGGACGCCGAAATTTGACTGTCGAAAAGCATCCTTCACCGGCAGAGAGCCGTATTTCACCGTGGCTTTCTGCGGCAAAAACGGCGCCAGGGGAGGCTACGACATCGTTCAGGCAACCACTTTTTACGGAACCTCGTTAGTTGGTTCTAACTGCCATAAGCGCAATCATTCAACTCAAATCTGTTGTATACCGGGAGAGGCTTATGTCGAGGATCCGGTAAGATATTTGATACCTATGATCACGTTGTAATCAACTTTTGTGCGCATCTTACTGATTTGTTTTTTTTGGAATCAGTCGCAAACAGGTTTTATACCCAAGTATAAGTTCGACAACCGTAAATGCAAGGTCATGGGATTGGAACCGGATTCCTGAAAGACCTATACACGCTGCGAGTGGGCAAGGAAAAAATGATCTTCACACGACTGTGGACCTCCGACTGGCCATGGACAGCCCCTTCAGATCACTTTCTCTCTTTCCATTGTATGTATGTAGCTGCACATGAGAATGATCATTACAGACCAGGGGGGTTTAACTTTCACCCCCAAACAAATCAACTTGGGACATTGAGATGACAAGTTGTGTTTCCAGTCACCTCCCTCCACTGTCCATAGTTGGCCAGTATGTTTGGTGATTAGTCCACACACATATATATATATATGAGCCACAGAAAGAAAGAAAAACTTCTGGCCAATGGTCACATTGTAGATTAAACACCTCTCCTCTTCACCAACATGTGCATAGCATCTGTAGAAAACATACTGTGACCATCCTTGATCAACAGAGGGGCCCATGGGAGGACTATGTACCAAGGCTACCAATCCATCCTCTTTTCCCGACCGCTTGTATTTCATCCAAACCAACTTTCATGGGGCCTTCATGGAGAATGTAGATAGTAAACCTCAACAATATCATACACATCCTTGGATCAATTGTAGCCTTGACAACCATTGCATTTGTCACAGTCATCACTAGCGGCCTCAGACCTCAGACCTCTGACTTTCCAAACAGTGTCCTTCACAGGAAAGGCACCATTTTGTTTTCATTTCATCTTTCTGGGTTAAAAACAGGGCCAATGGAGGATACGAGCTTTTTGAGCCAAACAAGTTGTTTATAGGCCCCACAATTATAGGCTCCAACTGCTACAGACACAATCATCTGACCAAAATCTGGTGTTTACCAGGGGTGGCTTATGTGGAAGATCCAGTGAGAATGATATATTAAATACCATCATGAAATATTTGTAAGGTCCTTTTCTTGACATCTGACTGATCACTTCTGTTTTGATTTGAATTTTCTGGATCAGTCTTGGTCAGTTTTCATAATTAAACCAAGTATCAATTCAATAACTCATGTAGATGCAAGGTCATGGGATCAGAAGTTTTGGGGACAAGATGTTTAATGATGAATCATGATTAATCAAAAGTTTTTATTGGAGGACTTCCAGTCGGTTTAGAAGGGGGGCTATTTTCTATTTTCTATTTCTATTTTCTATTTTCTTAGCAAATAGAAAATGAAAATAGAAAATTTGTCAATTTTTCTAAAATTTGTTCTTCCGCCAAGGTTCTTCTATATTTTAGAAAACCAGCTCCTCTCTACCATACATCACCAGACATCCCCACCACAGGACCACATGGATACCCCTGAGTCCAATGCAGAAGCCGCAGAGGACCGCCACCGATGATCCGCTCTTGTTCGTTTGAGTTTGAGTATCTACATCAGCAGTTTGGTTTGGATTCGGAGGGTTTTGATTGCCTTGACTGGCCTGAATTTGGGGATCGGAGACCATCGTTGTCCTTGGAGGTGAAGAATTCATGCCAGTTGGTTGTGGTTGGGTGGATATGGATGTGAGCTAACAAAAATGCAGGAGGGCCATGAATTTAGGAGCACAGCAAAAGCAATTGCATTTTCTATTTGCTAAGAAAATAGAAAATAGCCCCCGTTCTAAACCAACGGGAAGTCCTCCATTTATTTTTTATTTTCATTGGAGGAAGAAATTTCTCTTGGTTCAGCTTCACGTTTGGCTTCATTATTTATCTTTTTGAAATACAGAATGATTAACTCTATAATATTGATGATCTGATCAATTGGCAATGAGAAGTGGGCATACATTGTTGCAATTTGGACTTGTTTGAAGATAGAGACATTACTCTTATTATCTGTGACAATGAATAGTCTTTCAACAGCCACATCTATTAGGGACTTGTGGGGTGACGTTCCTTGGGATGGTGGTTGCCAGATCGAGTTGGCCCCTCTTTCGAGGAGTTTCTGGGCAAGATGTGCATATGCATGTTTTGTTGGGATTATGCATGGCCTGACTGCGGAGGAGAGGAAGCCAGCGGTGGAGAAAGAACAAAAATCCGGAGCCATCCCTCAGAGCAGCAACAAGCCAGAAAACATTGTAATTGACCAAGAAAGAACATCTTCAGCCAAGCCGACTGACCAGCATGACATCACTTATCCTCCGACCGAGCCGCCAAATCCACAGTCTTGTCGCTCGCAGACTGCCTCACTCCTTCTCTACCTCCTCCTCCTCCTCTTCTTCCGCCCTTCCCCGTCGGTTCTCGTCTTCTACCGCCGGCGCCCAGGCTGAGACGCAGGACTTGCCTACCGGCCAGACTGCCGACGCCTCCTCATCCGACCCGACTAGCACTCAAAATAAAAAGACCCTGACCGTCGAAGATCAGTTGGCTCAGAAGGACGCACAACTCAACGAATATAAGGTCCAGTGGATTCCGTTTTTTTTTCTTACAGTAAACGACGACCGAACTGATTTGGAGGTGTTGTTGTTTCGACGGGTGGGATATCTCTTAGGATCTGTACATCCGAGCCCGGGCAGATTTCGAGAACCTACAGAAGATCACGAGTCGAGAGAAGGCGCAAGCGAAGGAGTATGCGATCCAAGGCTTTGCGCGCGACCTGGTGTCGAACATCGATGTGCTACAGCTCGCCCTGAACTCTGTTCCGGAGCCGCTCCGAACGGTTCAGGAAGATGCGACAACAACAACAAGCACCACCGAAGGCGCGCCCGAGAGCCGGAAACATCTGGCCGATCTCTGGGCCGGCGTCCAGAGCACCAAGAGTCTGCTCGAGAAAACCCTCGCTCTCTACGGCGTCACCCCGTTCAATCCCGTCGGCCAACAGTTCGACCCCAACAGACATGAGGCTATGTATCAGGCTCAGGTGCCCGGTAAGGAACCTAACTCGGTCCTCAACTGCTCAAAGGTTCGTCCTTCCCTCCACTCTTCTCCCCTTCAATCCCCTTGACTCAACTTGTTCTCTTGTTAACGTGGGTTGTTGTTGTTGTTGTCCAGGTCGGTTGGATGCTCCGTGATCGGGTCCTACGGCCGGCTCAAGTCGGCGTCGTCCAAGGCTCTGACTCATCCTAACCACCCTCTTCTTTTTCTTTTTCTTTTTCTTTTTTTTTTTCAAAAAAAAAGCTTGGCATTTGGAAACCAAAATCAGATCATTCTCAACAAAAAAAATAGGTGAAGTCGTCTGACTTCCTTAGTCCAGCGTTGTATGTTTTATGAATTCATGTAACACTGTCTCTGCTGGATGATCTAGAAACATTCCGATTTTTTTTCCTCTATTCTTTTTTTTTTCTAACTGCATTCTTCCTTATCACACATCATCCATCCCTCCCAACCGCGTTCTTCTGTCCTGTTCAACTGTTGATAATCCCCCCTCACACTTCCTGCTCCATCTCCACTCATGAAGTCCCCACTTTTCTTTTAAAAAATATCTGCATTGTTGATTGCATTGCCAAACCGAAAAAACAACAATAATAATAGGGACTTAGTCAAACGACTCCCAACATTTGGAGTTCCGACTCCCAAATTTTGCGGACGTCCTGAGGACTGTCTGCGGACGGTCCTCCGGACGTCAGGCCCCCTAATTTTTTTTTTTCCCCCGTTTTTTGGGAGTCGGACCTCCAAACCCTTTGATTGGTTTGGGAGTCGACTCCCCAATAAAATAATACTTATTATTTTTTTTTTCGAGCCCCCTCGGGGGTTTTTGGGAGTCGATACTCCAAAACCCCATGGGGGTTTGGAGTCGGCGCTGAAAAAAAAAAAAAGAAAAGGAACGGCCGGGAGAAATTCTCCCGGCCGTTGACAGACTGCACTCTCAACGGCCGGGACGATTCCTCCCGGCCGTTGAGAGGTTACACTCTCGGCGGCCGAGAGAAACCCTCTCGGCCATTGAGAGGTTACACTCTCACCGGCCGAGAGGGATCTCTCGGCCGCCGAGAGTGTAACCTCTCAACGGCCGAGAGGGTTCTCTCG